CAGCCACTGTCACCCCGTCTCCCGGGCCCAGGGCTGCGGCCAGCCACTGTCACCCCGTCTCCTGGAGGGTTGTCCTGTTTTCCCAGCATGACGGCCTTCTCCAGAGGCCTGCCCTCCGGGTAACATGTCCAAAGTATATGAGATGAAGTCTCGCCATCTCCGCTCCAAAGGAGCTTTCTGGCTGTACATTCCCCAAAACGGACGTGCGTGGTCTCTTGAACGCTCATGGCACTTTCAATGTTCGTTGCCTGCTCATTACTGTTGCTTTAATGTGTTCTTGGCATTTAATAGGATTGGCCTGTCTTTTTTTTCAGAACTTTTATAATCTTGTCGTTTTCATATGAACTTCAGAACAATTATGACAGATTCCAACACAGTCTTGCTATAATTGAGGCTGCAATTGATCAACATTAATAGTGTGTCATACTAAGCCACCAGGTGAGTATTACTGCATTTCTACGCTGCACACGTCCATGGGGAACAGAGGAGTAGGTGAAGGGAGACACCGGGCAGTGTAATATAAGACATAATAATAATTTATAAATCTGCACACGTCCATGGGGGGGGGGGGGGCGTTGTCTCCATCCTTCATGTCAGCACTAACACCTGCGGCGGCGGCTGTCCAGGTTGCCTTTCCAACTCCAGGAAGCCTTAGGCTGCGACCTGGTGGAAGACGTCCATCACAACTCCCTGCCTCAGGGGCATGCTGGCACGAGAATGCCCTTGGATGCAGACGGGCTCATAACTAAGAACTACACTCCGTCGACAACACAGAAGAGAAAGAATCGTCTCCCTGAAGCACTAAGTGTTGGCAGGACCATGAGTGCGAGGCCACAGTCTAAGGGACAGTCAGACAGAGAGGCCATACCAGATGCAGCTGCCCTCGGTGTGCAGCCTGGGCAGAGCCAGGCTCTGGCAGGGGCAGCATGACTCTGAGAGAAAGAAGTCCAAGCTGGGGTTGCCAATGGAAGCCCTCCCCAAGCCTCCCTGGGGCAGGCTGGCTGGAAAGCCTCCTGCCAGCCCTTCCTGGGGGCAGTGAAGAGACTGCCTGCAGCCGGCAGGGAGGGAGGTGCCACTGCCCGCCCCCCCAAGAAAACCTTGCCACAAGTGCGCCTTGTGGAATCATGCTGTGTGTGCTGGTCTCACACAGAAACCTGACCATGCATTGGCCAGAGCTGACAAGGGTCACAAAGTTGTCACATACAACTTTCGTATGGACAAGTCGTACAACCTGCTCTGCTGGATTCATCCCTTCAAACAGGTGGCAAGGGCTGGAAATTTCAGAAGGCAGGCACCTCACTGTCTCGGGTCAAAGGGGATTGACTGTGGCAGGATGGATCCAGAAAGCTCCAACAGCAACCAAGACCAGGAACCAGAGAGCCCAACAGCAACCCAACAGACCAGCACCGAGGACTCCTGATGCCACCAGACACTGGTCATAGAGCTGCATTCTACTTCACGTTTCTGCAATGCTTGACATCCAAAAAAAAGGAACATCGTGAAGAGCAACTTAGCAGATGTGAAAAGAAGTCAGCTGAAGTTCTAGAAATAAAAAATAGGGTACTTCAAACGCAAAGGAAGGAAGCACATGAAAAGAGCGCACTGCCCCTGCCATTAAATGAAAAAGAACTGGCCACACGACAGGGTAGAACTGCCCGTGGGTTTCCGAGGCTGTAACTCTTTACGAGTAGAAAGCCTCTTCTTTCTCCTGGGGAGCAGCTGGTGGTTCTGAACTGCAGCCCTCGTGGTTAATACCCCAACGCGTAACCAGTATGCCACCATGGCCCAGCAAGTACACTCCTAGAGAATGGAAAGTAGACGTAGACACACACACCAGTGTTCACAGGCAGCACTGCACACAGAGACGAGAGGTGAGGCAGCTACATGTCCAATAACAAATGGCTGGACCAGCAAAGCGTGTCCCCCGCCCCAACACCCACACAGTGGAACAGAAAGAGGCATAACGTTCTGATACATGCTCTAGCATGCATGGAGCTTGAGAACACTTTGCTGAGTGAATATAAGTACAGAGAAAACATTGTTTGATCTCACTTGTATGAAATAATCAAAATAGACAAAGGTACAGGGACTAAAATGTTATTGGGGCAGAGGCACTCAATAGCTGAAGAGATCTAAGCTGAGGGTTTGCTAGCCAATGAAGAAAGATGCCAAAAGCCCCACACATTTTAAGAATAAAACAAAGTGCACATCACCATGAAATTGTACAACTTCAGAGACAGAAAAAATATATATATATATGTCCAGAGAACAAAACAAAGTACCTTCAAGAGAGTTCCAATTAGAAAACCCCGTTTTCAACACCAGCAACTGTCGCCATAAGACAATGGAATAATAGCTTCAATGAACTAACTGAGTCTTTTATGCCCATGAAACGACCTCCCAAGAACGAGGTGGAAATGAAACAGCTAATCTGCCCCCAGCAGGCTGTCCCGACAAGTCTCCCTAAAGGACACCTTGAGGCAGAAGGCAAGTGGGGCCTTTTCAAGGGGAGTTCAAGAAAAATAAAGAACAAAGTAAGTAGTAAACCTGGTTGAATCTGAATAAACAAGAAATAAAACATACAAAGTTTTGTGGAGGTAGTAACTTTTTAAAGATAGCTATATAATAAAACAAAACATAAAATCAGACCAACCTCACTGTCCATAAAGCTGATTCCGACTCATCACTACGCTAGGTTGGGTTCCCGAGACAGAAAGTCTTTACAGGAGCAGACAGACTCCTCTCTCTCTCTCTCTCTCTCTCTCTCTCTCTCTCTCTCTCTCCCTCTCTCTCTCTCAAGGAGTGGCTGGTGGGCGTGCAGAGCTGGCCTTGAGGCTAGCAGCCCAGCACCTACCCTTGAAAGGAGGCCCCTGAACTCCGTCAGAGACACGTTTCTAGTTCAGTAAGAGGACACAGGTTGTCTGTGCTGCCTGCTGTTGTTCTGTGCCATTAAACTGGTTCTGACCCATAATGACCGACGCACAACAGAATGGTCCTGCGCAGGAAGAATGAACGAATTTGTCTGGGAAAGACAACATGCTCCTTAGAAGCAACGCCCGACCCTCAGAAGGGCATTGAGCTTGGTCAAGGTGAAGGGCGGCTTAAAGACGAAGACCCTGAGGAAGATGGCCTGACAGTGGCTGCACACTGAGCTCGCAGGGCAGGGGGGTGAGGACGGTGCAAGGCCTGGCAGGGCTTTGTTCTGCTGGATGCAGGGTCGCTTTCAGTCAGAATTGACTGGCATTTCACAACAACAGTGGTTTAGAAAACCCCCACCACAGACACTGCAGCACTGGCCCACAGTGGGATACAGGCAGAGGCGGCAGAGGACATGGCTCAGGGCCCAGGTGACAGTGACGGCGGCTCAGGTGAGCAGGGATGCTCAGCCACCTCCTCACTCCCTCCCTCTCACTCTGGTCCCTTCCGCAGCCTCTCTGGGCCAGCAACCCCAGCCCAGCAATGCCTCCTTCCTTCCAGTCTCAGGGGCAGCCTAGTCCCATGGGAAGCATGGAGTTCTCTGCAGGCTGCTTGTGCCATTGCAAGAGAGCGTGAACCTGAGCCAGCTCCACCTTTCGGAGTTCTTAAAGCAAACATGCTCAGTGCTACACAAACTGTTATCAGTGCCACATTACTTCATCATGAAAGCCACACCCAATGGCTCAGCTTTCAGTCCAACAGGCCTCAAAGGTGAGGGGTCACATCAGGAAGTGCACCAACCCTCTGAGGTCAAAGGGCAGCCGGGCATAGGCAGATGGTGAAAAAAAGGGTGCTGGCCATGGCAGGGGCTATAATCAGTGTGGCAGAAGTACATGAAACTGCTGAGTGGGAAAGCAGGTTGCTCCGTAACCTTTCACCCAGTGAAAACGAAACACATCTCAAGTGTCTGTGGGAGGTGAAGGACCACAGGCGGGACTCTGGTCACCAACAAGGCCGTGGGCCTGACGCAAGATGCCCCACGGTGTGGCTCCCCAGAGGGAATAGTGAAGGGAGCCCCTCGCTGTAGCCCTTCCAGTGCGTGCGCGGGCGCGCTGCGCGCACATCTAGACGGAGCTGTGGGGCCAGCTGAGGGGACATGCATGTCCCTACCCTTGCTTGTACTGCCTCAGCTTTGCACTAGCTGTGCTACATTGCTGGTTCACAGACCAGCTTGGGCTGCAGGGGCAGCCTCCAGGCACACTCACCCAGAAATCCTCCCCAGGGCAGGCTCGGAGGCAGACGGTGCAGGTGGCAGACGCAAAGGTGCCGTGGGCTTCAACCAGCTTCGAGGCGGGGATGCCAGACACTGAAATTCAAACTTTAGTGAACCAGGCCTGCCCATGCCAACTGCAGGTGACGCTGCAGGGCACACTGAGCACGGGTTAGTGAGGACATGGCCACCAGCCCAAATGGAATGACCCCCAGCACCTAGGAGCGCAGTTTCCATTCTAAGTACGCCAGGTAACACTGTGGGAGTGACAGGGACAGTGCCATGCAGACAGCTGCCTGGTGGGAAACAGACAAAGGGTGGCTGGCTAATCCGCTCACACTGCCTGCACCTGAGGCCTCTCAGCACGCTGGCGCCCAGGGTCCTGACAGGGTCCTGACAGTGTCCTGAGAGACCGACGCAAAGGCTGCAAGCCCCACCCAGGCCTCAGCATGCTTGGTATGGCATCACCAGGCCCTGGGCTTGCCCCTAGGCCCCCCCAGAAAGTAATCACGACGCCGGAAACCATCGTGCTACTGTTTGGGGATCAGTTCTGGCCTGCTGGTCACTAGGGAAGAGGCCTGGGGCTGCTGACTGGCAGTGTGGGTTCTGAGTAGGGAGGTGGGAGGGCAGCAAATGCCTGCGAGCTCCCTGTGTCTTGGCAAGGTCGGAGAGGCTGTGTCTTGGGAGGCTGCATTTACATGTGTGTGGGGGGGCAGGTGTAATGATGACTCTGTTTGAAAAGACCCCACAACAAAGACAACCACCTAAAAGGAAACCAGGAACTCCCAAGCTGACTGAGATCAGTCTCAAAGGAGGGGAGACAGAGCAGGAGGGGCACTGACCTCGCTCAAGCCCATCAATGTTCTGGGTGTAGAGACGCAGCAGCAGCCCCTTGTCATGCAGGAGCCGGAGGAAGTAGTGAGTCATGTTGGGCTTGAAGTTCCCGGGATATAGCTCCTTGGCCAGGGTGAAAAAGGGCTTGGGGTTTTGGAAGAAGAAGGTCAGTTCAAAGATGGCTTCGGGGTACGGGAGGTTGTACTGCTTCAGGTTGCTGTAAAGGCCGCTCCCTGGAGACCTACACAGAGAGACAGCCCAGGGAAGTGGTGGGGAGGATGAGAACAGAAGGGGGTAGCTAAGGATGGGGGTGGGGGCAGGAGAGGACAGGGGCCAGGGGTAGAGGAGGGCAGGAGGGGGTGAGAGGCACCTGAAGTCGGGGATGCCACTGGGGGTGCTGATGCCAGCACCTGCCATAACCACCACCCGCTGGCAGGCTCTGGTCCGGATCAGTTCGGCGACCTCCTGCAGGGTCAGCTGCTGGCTGGCACTACCCCCTCCCCCTGCTGAGCCTCCTGCGGTGCAGGCCGTGAGCAACAGGGGCCATTCTCCACCTGCAACACCGACAGGGATGGTCAGAATGAACACCTGAAGGGTAGACAGTGGCTGACTCGTGGCACGGGCATGTAAGGGGCCAGCCTCGTGCCATGCAGTCCCTCAGCCAATATCATCCCATGGTGGCATCCCTCCCAATCAGGATGTCCTTGGTCGATGGGCTCCTTCTTCCTCAATGGTGCCCGTTCTGCTTGCTTCCTGGGCAATGACCCGCCCCCAGTCTGAAACGTCTCCTTGGACACTAGCCTGCTCACGCTGCCCACTGCCAAGACGGCCCACCTCTGAAATTCAGCAGAGCTTGCTCATCACAGCGGCTCGGCCCAGCCCGGTTTTCTGCTTCCTCCCTATCCCCAGGCATCTGCGGCAAGCAGAGGCCGACACACACCCTCCAGTCAGTCAGACAGGCTGCGCCACCACACCTGGGTCTGCCAGCCTTCAGAGCTGAGTGCTGCACTTGCCCCTGCTATGACACCTGTTGCCGAAGAAGTCTCCACACAGCAAGAGTTGAAGGGGCCCCAGCAGGGAGCCTCAACTTCCGAGGAGCAGAAGACCACCTCACCCATCAGGCAACTGTTCCACTAGGAAAAACCTTCCTGCCATCACAGCTGGCAGTGCTTCTCAGTCAGGACCGTGTACAGGTGCCGTCACCAGCCTCAGCCCCCAGGTATCATGGCGTAGCAGTCACCATGGCTGCAAGTTCGCGCCCCTAGGTACAGCAGCCCACTTGGGTGCAGGATCCCGGTGGATGCAGCAACCTCCCGTAGGTGTAGCAGCCCCCACAAGGGGTCAGGATCATACCCTTGGGTGTGGGATCCTGTTGGGGGCGCAGGATCCCGTCAATATTGCAACCCAGCATAAGTGTAGCACCCCCCTCATGGGTGCAACAGCCCCCCCATAGCTGTAGCAGCCCCTTCAAGGGTGTAGCAGCCCCTAATGGCAGCATAATTCCCCTGGGGTGCAGGAGTCCCTCTATGGGTGTAGCAGCCCCCAAAAGGTGCAGATGCCTCCCTTGGGTGCAGGAGTTCCTCTATGGGTATAGCAGCCCCCAAAAGGTACAGGAGCCTCCCTTGGGTGCAGGAGCTCCCACAGGGAAGAAGTCTGTGTCCTGCAGAGTATCCTCCCTCCAGCCACCCTGAAGGCCCATGGGATGCCGGCTTGCCCCGGACCAGTGCACAGGCTCCGGTCAACACTGGGCAGAGCTTCTCAGCAGCAGTGGGCATCGCAACCCAGTCAGCACCTCTAACATGCAGGGCAACATTTCACAGGCAGAAAGTCAAGGCACTGCAGGCAGCAGCCCAGCTTGAAACATCGGAGGTGCCCCTCCCCCCACCCTCCAGCGTGGTCACAGGAGCCTGCAAAGCAGATCGGAACACAGTGGTGACAGCGATGGCTCTGTGCAGGGATGCTGGCAGTCTCCATGGCCTGGGCATCACTGAGTGTCCAGCACAAGGGTGCTGCCACGTAAGCCACCTTGGGCCTGTTGCAGTTCCTCTGAACCTAACCACACTGCACCCTGGGGCTGGCCCAAGCCAGCACCAGTGAGGCTAGGACTGTCCCTTTGCACATGGGCCAGGAAGTAGCCTTCCCACCCAGGGACAGAGCTGGCGGGAGCCAGGCTGTGGCTCTCACACATGTTGGCGGGGGGTGGGGGTGGGGTGGGGTGGTTTGTTGGTTAGTGACAGGAACGAAGCTGGAGATCACATGATCGAATTTTTCAAGGTCAACAACGTCTTCATTGTATGTCTCTTTTTTCAACAATGTAAATGGCAACTACACACGTGACTTCACCAAAGTAAATGCAAGTATGGGAAGAGATGTTGAGTTCAATATCATCGGGAAAAACAAGGCCAGGGTCTGTAGAACAGACAAGTAAGTGCTCACATGCAAGTTCAAGTAGTAGAAGCTGAAGAATAAAATTCTTAAGTCCCCAAGAGGCAAAACGCAACCTTGAGTATATCCCACTTGAAGTTAGAAAAGATCTCACAAACAGGTTTGATGCACTGAAAATTATTGACAGAAGACCTGGCGAGCTGGGGGAAGACACCTGGAACTGCACAAATGAAGAAGCTAGGGTCGTTACGAAGACAGAAAAGGGAAGACCAAAGTGCCCGTCAGAAGAGATGCTGGGACTCGCTCTTGAAAGCAGAATGGCTAAAGGAGATGGACAGTGCTACGGGGAAGCAAAGGGCAGCTCGAGAAGACAGAGTACTGTAGTGGCATGTGCAGAGACCTGGAGTGAGAGAGTCAAAGAGGTAGAACATGCTCAGTGTAACTCAAACCCAAAGAACACAGGGAAAAATTTAAGCCTCAAGTTGCAACACTGAAAGATTCCACGGGCAAAATATCAAGTGATGCAAGAAGCATCCAAAGACGCTGGGCAGATAGACAGTCACTGTACACAAAGCACTGGTTCATGTTCAACAACGTCAGGAGGTAACACGGAAGGAGTCCAAGCTGCATGGGGGTATCAGCCAAAAATAAGGTCCGGGAGTGAATGGATTAGCAACTGAAGTGTTCCGCATGCTGATGAAACACAAAGCATTCACTTGGTCATGCCTCAGAGGGAGACAGCTATGTGGCCAACTGACTGGGAGAGACCCCTATCTATGCCCGTGCCAAAGAAAGGTGACCCAACAGAATGCTCACGTTATAAGCAATATCACATACAAGCAAAGTTTTCCTAAAGGTAATTAAAAATAGTTGCAGCTGTACATGACAGGGAGCTAGCTGTCAGAGGTGCAGGCCGGATTCAGAAGAGGCCGTGGAACAAGGGATATCATTGCTGACATCTGAGAGATCTTGGTTGAAAGCTGAGAATACCAGAAAGATGCTTATTTGTGTTTTGTTGACTATGCAAAGACATTCGACCATGTGCCTAACAACTATGGAAAACAATGAAAAGAAGGGTAATTCTAGAATTGTGCCTATGCAGAACCTAGAGGAATCAAGAGGCAGCCACTTGAACAGAACAAGAGAATAGCACCCCCAAAAACCAAACTCACTGCTTCCAGTCGATACTGGCTCCTACCAGTCCTGCAGGACAGGGAGAACTGCATCTGTGAGTTTCCGAGACTGTAACCCTTTACATCAGTAGAAAGCCCTGTCCTTTTCCCATGGAGCAGCTGGCGGTTTTGAACTTCTGACCTCATAGCTAGCTACCTACAGTTTTGCCCAATGCAAAACCACTATGCCACCAGGCATCCTGCACAACAGAACACTCGTGGTTTAAAATCAGGAGGTATGTGTCAGGGTTGCATCCTTTCACTATACCTGTTCCATCTGTATACTGAGCAACTAATCCAAGAAGCTAGCGTATATGAAGAATGCAGCATCAAGATTGGAGGAAGGCTTATTAACAGCTTTTGATATGCAGATGACACAACCTTGCTTGTTGAAAGTGAGGAGGACTTGGGGCACTTGCTGATGAAGATCAAGGACTGCAGCCTTCAGTGTGCACCACAACTCCATATAAAGACGACTAAAAGCCTCGCAGCCGGCAAGACTGGTGTTGTCAGGATTTCTCTTCACTTGGATCCACAATCAGTGCTCGTGGAAGCAGCAGTCAAGAAAGCAAATGACGCACTGCAATGCGGAAATCTGCTGCACAAAACAACTGGGAAGAGTTAAAAAACAAGGATGTCACTTTGAGGACTAAGTGGTGGTGGGGCTCACCTAAGCCATAGTATTTTCAATCACCTCGTATGCACATGAAAGTTACACAATGAATAATAAGGAAGAACGAAGAAGAATCAATGCATTTGATTTGTGGTTCTGGTGAAAAACATAAAGTATCATGGACTTCCAAGAGAACTAACAGATGTGTCTTGGAAGTACAACCAGAATGCTCCTTAGAGGCAAGGCTGGCGAGACTTTGTCTCACATACTTCGAACATGTTGTCAAGAGACCAGTCCCTGAAGTGGACATCATGTTTGGTAACTAGAGGGGCAGTGATAAAAGAGGAAGGCCCTCCAGGAGCTGGATTCACACCGTGGCTGCAAACATGGGCTCATACATCAGAACAGCTGAGGACGGCACAGGCCTGAGCAGTGTTCGGTTCTGCTATACGTGGGGTGGCTGAGTCGGAGTCAATGTGATGGCACCTACCACCACCATCACCACTACCACATGGCCCCTAGTTGCCCATCACCTTCCAGTCCTTTCCATTTGCTCAGGTATCACTGGGGCCCACAAGAAACACCCAGGACCAGTCATCGGGTTTGAACAAGTGGCCACAAGCCCAGAAACTAACACCCTCCCCATACCATCTGACTATACAGACACTGCCCACATCATCTGTTAGCTGAGACTCTACCCATGCCATCTGATTATAGGCCCTCCTCCATGCCATCTGATTACAAACTCTCCCTCACGTCATCTGACTACACAGACCCTCCCAAGTCATCTGACAGCTGAGACCCTCCTCCACGCCACCTGGGTGGTGGCCTGCTCAGTTCTAGGCTGCACCGGAGGAACCAGCCTCTAGAGGGCCAAGATGAGGACAGTGATGGGGGAGAGGCTCCGATGACCTTTCAAGAGAAAACAGAATTTTAAAAAAGAGAGAAAACACAAAAGAGCTGCTGCCTGAGGCACTTCGTGACCCATCTTCCTGGGCTGACAGGGTTCAGGAGACAATCTGTGGTCTGACATTCCTCAGACTGAGTCAGGGGCTGCCTGGGAGACTGAAGTAAGGGGCACTTTTTTGGTAGAAATTTTATCCAGAAATTCAAGCGTGAGAAATCTAAGCTGTGCTAAGCAATGGCTTCTCAGACAATACTGGGGGGCAGCCATCACGGAGCCAGTTCACCAGGGCCTTGGTCTGCATCCTGCGTTCCCCAGCACCCAAAACCGGTGTCAGCCATTGCCAAGAGCTCCAAGAATGGTCTCTGAGAGAATGAAGGATTCTCCCCCTCCCGCAGCATCATCTCCTCACTGATGTTTTCACTAACTGTATGAGGTGACAGGCCGTAAGCATTGTGCTTGACCGACTGAAATCTCCAACCAGCCTGGTTTCCATTCTTAGCTCTGTAAGGCACATTGATGAATTATAGTTCCTAGGTAACACCGATGTGAACGTGGGCAGGGAACTGGGAGCTCCTTGGGTTTGGGGGGGAAAGGCAACAAACACGTCTATCATTCCCAGCAGGTCCCCCGCTAGGAATTGACCCCAAAGTGGCCTGCAGCACTTTGTAATAACGAGGGGTGGGGACGGGGCACAATCTCCAATAACGAGTGCCCTGGTGGCGTACTGGTTAAGTGCTGGGCTGCTAACGGCAAGGTCAGCAGTTCCAAACCACCAGTCCCTCTGCGGGAGAAAGGCAGGCATTCTACTCCGTAAAGACTCGGTCTCGGAACCCCCAGGGGCGGTCCCACCCTGTCCTACACGGTCGCTGAGACGACGGCAGTGAGGTTTGAGTTGGGACACCATCTCAGGACGGACACGGTTCAGGTACAGAAACCCCGACAGGGAGCCCTGCAGAGCCGCCCGGACGCACTCCGAGTGCGCTGTCCGAAAACCGGCGAGGTGCAGAACGCGATCTGCGACCAAAGCTCGAAGAAGCCCGGCTCGGAGCGATGACACGGCGCCCCACGAGCGGACGCCCCCCGCCACCTCGCAGCCACCGCGCGCGGGGAGCCCGTGCGCCCGAGACCACCGCCCACCCCAGGGCAGGCGGATGTCCGCGGCCCTCACCTCCCGCGCCCCACAGTCTGCGGGCGGGGAGAAGCCGCTTCCCCAGCGCGGGCACGGCACGACCGGCAAACGACAGCGCCATCTTCTCCACGGCCGCGGACGTCCCGGCATCACGTGCCCGCCCGCTGGCCCCGCCCCGCACGTGCGCGCGCCGCCCGCGCGTTACCCTGGCGACCAGCGGCCGCCTGGCGCCGGGCTACGGCGCTTCCGGCCTCCCTGAGCGGTGTGGCGCGCCGGAAGTGAGCGCGCACTTCCGTCCGTCGCCGATCCTTGTCGTCTCGGTGGTAAATTTGGTTGTGTCACTGACCTGGCTTCTTGCTGCCACCATGAAGGACGTACCGGGCTTCCTACAGCAGAGCCAGAGCTCCGGACCCGGCCAGGCCGCCGTGTGGCACCGTTTGGAGGAGCTCTACACAAAGAAGTGAGCTCCGAGCCGCGGGGTCCCGCTTCCCCGGGCAGGGCACGGGCACGTGTGTGGGCGGTGGGAGCCCGGAGGTGGGCAACATGCCCCTTCCTCTGCTCCTCGGAAGGGCTCCGGGCCGGGGAGGACCGAGTTCTGTAACCCAGCCCCTGGCCACTCGCCCGCAGCCTGTTATCAATTGTGGCTTCTTTACGGCCTCGAGAACCGAGCCGGCCAGTGCTGACGTCCCTTCCCCGTGGTTGCTGCGCCGGTCACCTGCTGGGGTGCTGCCCTGGGCCCCGTGGTCCCCAGCTTGCGCTGCCCTTCCGACGAGCTTCTTGCTGGAGGTCTGGGCTTGTGTAGAAACGTGGAGCCCCAGAACAGTTCACTTGCCTGTGAGCGAGCGCCAGCGTCTTGTAATGAATAGCCCAGGTGGCCAGCCCTGGACCAGAGATGCTCTGTAAGAAAACATCTCTCCTGAACGAACCTCCGGGTGGGGCCAGGCAGTTTTGGGGAGAAGAGTAGTTTAAAAGAGTGTGGTTCTTGACTGCGTGGTTTGTGTTTGGTAGCACTCTGGCGTTGGAAGCATTTCTGGGCACCATGTTCACAGGCTTGTGTCTGGCCGGACTGCACCATGCTACTGTGGTAAATGTTCTGCCTCAGAGTTTGCTGACCATCTATCTACTCGCCCTATCCGTCACTAACAAACCCGAGGCTCAGTTCTAGCCCGCCACAGAGACACACTGAATGGAAAACGGAGCTGGGAGTCTAACTTGGATCCCTATGATCACAGTTATTTTTTCTAGTCAGATATAGTAATCCTTTGAGGTCATCCAGCCCTATGCCCTCCATCTTACGGTTGAGAAAACTGAGTCTTAGATTGACGAGTTCTTGTAAGTCAAGATGGCAGAGCCCGAGTAGTCTTCTGCTGTGCAGCAGATGCTGCTGCTGTGTAGTCCCTGGTGGGGAGGCTTGGAGGGCTGAGCGCATGCTGCCTTTGTTTTTCAGGTTGTGGCATCAGCTGACACTTCAAGTGCTTGACTTCGTTCAGGACCCCTGCTTTGCCCAAGGAGATGGCCTCATTAAGGTAAATACTTGGCCATCTTAACCAAAACCCCATGTTACTGAGTTGCTTTTAATTCACAGCAGCCCTGTAAAATAGAGTACAACTGCCCCATAGGCTTCCTAGGTCTGCAGTCTGTGCAGAGGCCCCTTTCTCTTGAGCAGACGTTGCTTAGACAGTTCCCAGGTTAGGTCAGGTGTGCACGCATCCTCGAGAACTCTTCAGAAGCACCGGTGGGCTTCTAAAATGGTAAGCTGCACTGCTCTGCAATCACTGTGGATGGCATAGTCCTGGCGACTTCACGTAGTAACTCCACCCTCATAACCACTCTGGGAAGTCAGCACTACTCTTGGCCCCTGCTTTTCGATGCTGAAAAGTTAACCATAGCATAGCCATGGTTGAGGCTGGTAAGTAGCTGAGGGGGTTCACACCTGCTTTAGCTTCCACAGATCTAAAACGGAAGCCTAAAATGACTCTGTTGCATGGCGTCTCCCTGCGTCTTACTGCTCAACATCTTAGGTGTTTGGAGCACTTTTTTGGCTTGTGACTAGATCTGTTGCTGTCAAGTTGGTTCCGACTCATGACAACCCTATAGTACAGAGTAGGACTGCCCCACGGAGATTCTTGGTGGGGGGTGGGGGGTGTATGCATAACCCTGAGCTGCTTCTGAAGCTGAGCACTTTTAAAACTTGGTCAGTAGAAAATGATGTCATTTCCTGGCCTTTCCTTCCTGGAGTTAGGGAGTGGGGAGGTAGTTATCTTTAGATTTGACTGGAAAAGCCGCCTGTGTTTAGACATTTTGGTGCCCACACCCAAGACTTCAGTCCCCTTTTCATTATGTTGTAAGCGCTGTCTCAGGTTCTTGGGAGAAGATTTCTACCCCTGTAAGCACTTGCTGTCTGGGAACCCCACAGGGCCACTCCTCCCCTCTTCCGTGGGGCGCTGCAATTCCGTGGGGACTCGGTGGCAATGAGCTGGCCTTGCTCTGGCCTCAGCTTCTCAGGGCTGTCGTAGCAAAAATAGCACAGGCGTTGGCTCTGCTGGAGCTGTGTTTGCTTACTGCACAGGGGCTGCGAGTCTGCCCGGGAGCTGCTCGGCACTATTGGTTCTGCAGGGAAGTGCGGGTGCTGTGCGTCCTGGTGTTCTTCATGCGGCCGGCCACGTCTCCGCCACTCTGCTCCCTTATACGCATGGTTGGGTTGGTTAGTCTCGCAGATGGGACAGTCCTAAGAGACAGTCAACATGTGTCCGACCTCATTACCATCTTGCGGAAATCTTCATCCCTAAATGGTATTGCTTCTGCAAGTGTGGGCTCAATTCATTCTGTAACAAACTCTGAGGATAGCAAGCCAGACATGGGAAACTTAAAGTGGTTTCCTTGACTTCGAGCTAAGACACTGATCAGTGTTACCTTCTATACCGTAGAAGGAGTCTTTGTGTCACTGTGGGTTAAGTGTGGGACTGCTAAATGCTAGGTGGACAGTTCAAAGCCTGCAGCTGCTCTGTGAGAAAGATGAAGTTGTTTGTTCCTGTAAAGACGTACAGTCTGAAGACCCTAAGGAACAGTTCTATTCTGCCCTATAGGATTATTATGAGTTGGAATTCACTTGCTGGCAATGGGTTTGGATTTTGCGTTTAAGCTAACATGTGAGTGAGTCATGTAAGTTCACATGGGGGTCAGGAGGAGCCAGTCCCTGGAGACAGACGTCATGCGTGATAAGTAGGAGGTCAATGAAAAAGAGGAAGACCCGTACGAGATGGGGTGACAGTGACTGGAACAGTTGGGCTCAGACTTAGGAACAATTATGAGGAACGTGACAGACCAGGCATTAATCTGTTCTGTAGTACATAAATCCACTGTCATTGAGTGATTCTGACTCATGGCGACCCTGATCGATTTACGTTTGAGGCTGTAAATCGGTTCGGGATCAGATAGCCTCATCTTTCTCCTGAGGAGTGTTTGTGAACTGTGACCTTGCGGTTAGCAGCCCAGTGCTCACTTAGTAGTGCCATGGAAAACTGGGAGCGTTCAAATGCAGGCTCTGAAGTTGCCGCCCACAGGAAAAGTGGTGCTGGAAAAGACGGAAAGCGGGGAACCGCCTCTTGGGGTGACGGTGCTGACGAGAAGGCTCAGGGTCCCAGAGGTGGTGGCAGTGCAATAAAGGGAAAACACATTCTATGGAAAACACAGCCGCGTTTGGGACACCGTGGGACAGCTAAAGTCTGCGCCGAGACCCCATGAAGTAGCCGCAGGAGAGACTGAAGATGACACCTTGCAAGGGCCGGGTGACCAGAGAGCGCACAGTAGGACCATTTCAAGAAGCAGCATTTTCCTTGCCTGGAAGCGAATTGGATAAACTCGTGTGAAGACACAATTTGGTTGTCCTGTTATGATTGAAGCGAGAAAATAAAATGTGGAAAACTGAGGGGGACAAAAATGGGACCCACATCGAGCTGGTCCTTAGGGTTCCTGAGACCGAATCTGCCCTGGAGCAGGCGGCCTCGTCTTCCTCATGCAGAGCACTGTGTGAACCGCTGACTGCATGTAACGGTCCAGTGCTTTCCCAGCTACGCCTTAGGGAACCAGGAAGTGCCCTGTCAAAATGGCGGGAGGTTGACGGCCAGCTGTTTCTCCTGATGGTGGGCGTGATGCCATGCCTCCTAGACTTGCCTTCCCAGCCCATGTGGTTGTCTGGCTCAGGGTGGCCAGTGCTAGTCCCTCTGGGATATGTCCATTTCACTTTTGACCCCTCCCAGTTTTCCTTGACTCATGCTTGGGACCGTCCACTCCTGCTTTGTACACCTAGTATTCACAGGCATCTACAGCTGTTCTCAGTGAGGTCCCAAAAGCTATGCTCCACCCATGGTGTCTCGGCCACTCTGCCTTGAGGAGGCAGCTCTCTTCTAGTCATATTTGAGAGTCAGTGCCATCAGCTAAGCCACTGAGAGATCAGGGGCCTGTGCAGCCACACCTTTACCCACCTGGGTGGTGGGCGGTGGTGGTGTCAGGCTCACTGTGCGTCCCTTTCAGTCAGGTTCAGAAAGACACCTTGTAACGATTCTCCTGCTCTGATCCCACAGCTTTACGAAAACTTCATCAGTGAGTTTGAACACAGGTAAAACCCCTTTCTGTCTTTGACTCTGTGGTGCGGGTGTCGGCCCTGGCTCAGGGTGGCTTCTGTTTCAGAGTGAACCCTCTGTCCCTCGTGGAGATCATCCTCCATGTCGTCCGGCAGATGACAGGTGAGCTAGCTTGCTTCACAGCCCGGGGATGAGCTTTACGATTCGGAACGGTTTGACCCCAGTGACGGCCCCACTAAAGCGGGCTGCGAGTGGGCAGAAGTTCTGCTCCGGATCTCCTGACTGATGTCCTCTTCCTTCTCTAGACCCTAACGTGGCTCTCACCTTTCTGGAAAAGACCCGTGAGAAGGTGAGTGTCTGGATCCCTGGTGCTCCTTGGGCCGGATGCCCCGTGGCCGTGGCCTCGTGGGGCCAGCTGTCGTGGGTGCCGTGTTGAGTGTGCGGCACATGGTTGCCCACCTCTGTGGGCCCTTGTCTATGACGTGCAGGTGAAAAGCAGCGACGAGGCCGTGATCCTGTGTAAGACGGCCATTGGAGCACTGAAGTTAAACATCGGGGACCTGCAGGTTACAAAGGTGAGGCCGTCACAACACCCGCTGTTCTGTGGTTTTCGAAACTGTTTAAACCTGTAAGGAAAAGCCCTTACTCCCTCCTTAATCATTTGCTTTTAGCTGCTTATGACTCATAGGGAAGATGCAAAACAGCACAAAGCACTGCGTAGCCCGTGTCTTGTCGCCCCACTTCCTGAGGTCTCATTGGTGGCGGTGTCTTTATATTGGTGCTGCTTTGGGGACCGAATGTCTGATGAGGCAGATTCCTGTGCCTGGACCCCTTGTTCAACCAGAACAAGCGTCTAGTGTGCTTTGGTCCTTGTAGCATTAAAGGCAATACTGGGAAAAGTCCATGTTGCTCCAGTTCTCATCGCCCTAAAATCCCTTTGTCACCTTGGGGTCACTGCCCTGGCCTGGCCCGCATGGGAGAGCCTGAGCCGCCCCTGCTGCCACGTGCCATGCATGACTGGCCCAGGGTTCGCTGATGGGGGTGGGGATGGGTGGGAGTCGGGCTCTCACTCGCCTCCACAGTGGCTTTGTTCAGCACCAGGGGTGTCAGCTGTCCACCTCTTGTACCCAGCTCCTGTGTGTCTGGGGGCGCTGTGACTGGGGGCGCCTGCCTGCCCTTTCCCAGGCTCTGTAGAGGGGCTCTGCCTCACCCCAGAAAGTGCCCCATTGCCAGCACCCCAGCACAGGAGGTCAAGTGGTAGCTCTCGGTGTTCCTTGCGTCTCCCCGATGGCCAGGCTTAGGCTTCAGTTGCTTGCTCACAGATGCCTCATGCCCGCTTCCGGCTGCCTGTTTGCTGCTGGGCCCTCGTGGCCTCTGTCCTGGGCCAGGACCTTGTGCGTGACCTTGGCTCTGCAAAGCACACTCTGCCTGGCTTCACTTTGCACTGCTTCGTTTGGAAGGAATTGAAATGTTCTGTGCTACCTTAGTCTTGGCCTGTGGCTAATGGGGCTTTTTAACTTGCTGTGTGTTAGGAGCCCTGGTGGCGTCGTGGTTACGAGTTGGGCTGCCATCGGCATGGTCGGTAGTTGGAAACCACCAGCAGCTCCGTGGGAGAGGGACTGTGCTTTCTACCACTGTCAGCAGTTAGAGTCTGGGGAACTCAGGGGTGCTGTGAGTCAGCATTGACTCGCCGGCAGTGACTTCTCCGGCAGCCGTGGGGCCTGAGAGAGGGCGGTCTTGCCTCCTGTGTAGGAGACCATTGAGGATGTTGAAGAGATGCTCAACCACCTGCCTGGGGTGACGTCCGTGCACAGCCGCTTCTACGACCTGTCCAGCAAGTACTACCAGACCATTGGGAACCACGCAGCCTACTACAAGGACGCCCTGCGCTTTCTGGGCTGCATTGACATTAAGGACCTGCCAGGTACAGACGGCGTGTCTCTAGGAGGCGTTCGGTTCCGGTTGCTACGAGTGCGAAGGGACTCGCAGGCAGGGAGTGCTTTGTTGGAGGCTCTGCTCAGGTCCTCTCTGAGGCTCAGGTTGTCCCAGCATGTCGTGTCCTTATCCAGTGTGGGGCGGTGGGGCTCCCCAGACCCCAGCCTGTCTCAGCACTGGGGGCTTCCCAGGCCGGAGGCCTTCACAGAAGCCCTGCTGTGACCTCCAGGGGCTGAGGGAGAGCGAGATGGCCGGTAAGCCTGAGGGAAGTGCGTGGAATGACTCTTTTTTAAAAACAGTTTTATTGGCATTTAATTCACAAACTATACAATTCAATAGTTCAGTATTAAGAAGAGTTTTACAATCATCACCATAGTCAATTTTAGAACATATTCTACATTCATATACTCATCGTTATTAGCTACCTTTCCATAACCCTAAGAAGCTATTGATATAGTTACTGTTTCTATATATTTACTTATCTTGGATTTCATATATAGAAAAACATTTACAAACAACCCTAAGATCAATAGTAAAATATAGAAAAACCTTGATTGAAAAGGAAGTAGAAAATATTAGATAGAACTCAAATTTAAAATGGGTCAAAAAAATGTTTTTAATGGGTCAAAAGGGATATCTAACTATAAGGCCCTAAATCTTTATTTAAATTATTTTATTGGTGGATCGTTGAACTCTTATCACAATCCATCCATCCATTGTGTCAAGCACATTTGTACATTTGTTGCCAGCATCATTTTCAAAACATTTTCTTTCTACTTGAGCCCTTGGTATCAGCTCCTCATTTTCCCCCTCCCTCTCCCACCCTCCCTGCCTCACAAACCCTTGATAATTTATAATTTACTATTATTTTTTCATGTCTTACACTCAACGATGTCTCCCTTCACCCACTTTTTTGTTGTCCGTCTCCTAGAGAGGGGGTTATTGTAGATCATTGTGATTGGTTCCCTCTTTCTCCCTCAACTTTACCCTTACCCTCCTGGTATCGCTACTCTCATTATTGGTCCTGAGGGGTTTATCTGTCCTGGAGTCCCAGTATTTCCAGTTTTTGTCTGTACCAGTGTACAATCTCTGGCCTAGCCGGATTTTGTAAGGTAGAATTGGGATCATGATGCGGGGGGCAGGATTAAGGAACTAGAGGAAAGTTGTATGTTTCATCGGTACTATACTGCCCCCTGACTGGCTTGTCTCCTCCCGGTGACCGTACTGTAAAGTTGCCTACAGATGGGCTTTGGGTCTCCACTACGTACTTTCCCTCATTCACAATAATAATGATTTTTTGTTTTGGGTCTTTGAGGCCTGATACCTGATCCTGTTGATACCTCATGTTCACACAGGGTGGTGTGCTTCTTACATGTGGGCTTTGTTGCTTCTCAACTAGATGGCCGCTTGTTTATTTTCAAGTCTTTAAGACCCCAGCTGCTGTATCTTTTGATAGCCAGGCAACATTAGCTTTCTTCACCACATTTGCTTATGTACCTGATTTGTCTTCAGCGATCCTGTCAGGAAAGGTGAGCATCACGGAATGCCAGGTTATTAGAACAAAGTGTTCTTGTGTTGAGGGAGTACTTGAGTAGAGTCCCAATGTCCCATCTGCTACCTCAATTCTTAACATACAGATATGAGTACCTAGTTCTGTCCCCTGTTGTTATATATGAATAGATATACATATGTACATGCCTGTATTTAGACCTCTATACATGTCCTTTGTCTCCTGGTTCTTTCCTCAATTTCCTTTTACTTTGCTCTTGTCCCACCATCATGTTCAACTTTCATTCGGGTTTAGTAATTCCTCGCTGCTACATTGCCCTTGATTAAGCCTCACTAGGCATCCTGTGCCTTTCTCTCCATTGATTTTAGTTCACTTGTTCCTGGGTTGGTTCCCTCCCCTTTCTCCCACCTCCCCTTCTCCTATATCTCCCCCGGAACCATTCTTTTCATCTCTGAATTGTTTATCCCGCTATCTTATCTAGATAGACATGCAGAGACATCGATAAGTGCAAAAACCAGGCAAAGCCAAACAAAACAAAGGGAGACAAAACCAACAAAACAACAAAATAAACCCAACAATGGGATCACAACAAAAAGAAAGCCACTGACAGAAATGGAAAGGTCTATAAATAGTTCAAGGTCTGCTTGTTGGCCTTTACGAATGTTGTCCAGTTGAGTCTGATAGGGTGCCACACTCTGTCTCCAAAGTCTGTTTTCAGTATTCCCTGGGGATTTCATCACTTTGCTCCCTTTGCTGCTCTGTTGCACGCCCTTTTCGTGTTTTGCCCCAGTATGGTGGGGTCAGATTGTGCGCAATTCCCACACTGTGTTTCCAGTGTTGTCCCCCATAGTGCATGGTTTAGTGAGGAACATCGTGTCTTGTGGTGGAACCAGGCCTATGGTCCTCTCGGTGCGTTGTCTGCTCTGAGCAGGAACATCGCCCTCGGGGCTGGTGGGCCAGGATGTGCTCCCTCCCTCTCCCTCCCTCTTCCTTTCTCCTGTGTGCTCTGATCAGACTTGCCCTCTCCACAAGCTATAGCTTCTGTGCTGTCCTCTGAAGTGCATTCTTCGGGGAAGGGGGTGGGGAGGGTGGTCCACATAGTTGGGATTGGGGTCGGCCCCACAGACCTCTCTCAATAGAGGCCTTAAATTTTAGCATCACTGCTTTTACAGAATCGAGTTTGATAGCAGGCTTTCCCAAGTGGGTGATTTTGGAGGTCGGCCTCTGAAGCTGAAGAGGCCAAAAGGGCCTAAAGCTAGGATGTGGCTTTGCTGGGAAAATGCCCAGGGCAGGGGGCTACAGTGGCCGATCCACAGACAGCTGAGCCTGGGGAGAAGCAGCTGGTCTGCTTCCCTTGGAGTGGGGCTGGGTCTGAGGAACCCCGCACTCTGGGAGGTGGTTCATGTGGCAGAACCCAAACCTCCCTTGAAGAGAACCTCAAGGGAGGGAGGTGCTGGCCATGGGATTGGTGTGGTGCCAGGTGCGATGGTGGTCCAGCACTGGAGAGAGGCTCTGGGGGAGCCATGGAGGGTCCTGTGCTCTCTGTGATGTGAGTGTGCGATGCCCGAGGCTGTGCCGTGACTGACAAGTGGCTGTTGTCCCTCAGTCTCAGAGCAGCAGGAGCGGGCCTTCACGCTGGGCCTCGCAGGGCTGCTCGGTGAAGGCGTCTTCAACTTCGGAGAGCTGGTAAGTCGCCCGAGCAGGTTCCTAGTGGCGGTGGGGGTGCTGTGGCAACCCTGGCTGACTGCCTGCCCCTCCTAGCTCATGCACCCTGTGCTGGAGTCATTGCGGGGCACAGAGCGGCAGTGGCTCATCGACACCCTGTACGCCTTCAACAGCGGCCACGTGGAGAAGTTCCAGGCCCTGAAGACCGCCTGGGGCCAACAGGTGAGCCCATGTGGGGGGGCAGAGCCCCTGGTATCTCTGGCTCTGCACAGCCCAGCTGGGCACGCACTGTGATTGACTCATACCCGCCTGCCATGTGTGCCTCGCCTTCATCTGCACTCTGTCTTTCTTCTGCCCCACCTGCTCTCTTTGCCCACCTCCCATCTGCACCCCAACTGCTCCTCTGATCACACTCCACCTTCCAACTACACGGCCCCTTCCATTTCTTGCCACTGGGGTGTTTGGGGCCAGGATTCGTTCCTGAGGCCCTTGGCTTCATCGTGGGTGTAGGGGACCAGCCCAACACCAAATGGGTCCAAGGGGCGGTTGTGTAATAGAGGAGTAAATTAAAGAGACATCAGACATGTAAAGGCATGTAAAGGCTCACCTCCATGATTGCTTCAGGAACCAGTTCTGAACAGAGACAGAGGCCATAATGTAGTATCATGAGCTTTTAGAATCTCAGGCATGCAGGCCATGGTAAGTACGTATATAACAGAGACATACACATAACGCAATAGGAAGGGGAGGCAATAGAGGCACACGTGGACAGGAAGACGCGTGGGTAACAAGATGGACGGGCTCTAGAGTCAGGATGGCAGCCTAACCTTGATCACCTCTGAGTTGGCTTGACCTTAGATGTCTTTGAGCTCTTCTCCAGGGGAACAATCTAAGATCCTTATCAGAAGGGAGTGCACCCTACTAAGACAGTAGGCTCTAATTATTTTTGATGGCAAATAACCTTTAGGCAGATAGCCTTCAAGCAATTGACCTTCAAGCGAATAATAAGAAGAGACCATGTGTTTGCAAACAGCACCTTAAATTTGGCATTATTATGGGGGGACATTGAGGGACTGACTTTCACTTAGGAGGATGTGAGTGGGATGCATCTCCAACCCAGGAACGTGAAGGTTCCCTCCATGGGACCCCTGGCCTCCCAGACTCCTTAGCGTACAGTGTTGAGAGTTTGTCCATGCATACTCTCTTCCCAGTTTTGTTTCCCACAGAAGAGGCGAGTGGTGCCGACTGGATCAACTGAGAAGGGTGGGTGTCCTCGGGGCACAGTGGCTCGGGAGTTTGCTCCCAGACAAAGCGATGGCTCACCCATGTGTTCGGGAGCACGAGTGGAGTGCGTGCTGCCTGTGGCCCCAGGGAGCTCCCACCCCAATGGTGTTTGCTGGCCAGCGGGCAGGAGGGCCCTGAGCTGTGACTGCATTGTTAGGAACCCCCGCTGCTTCTGGGAGGCTGGAGCAGGTCTTGTCAGCGGAGCAGACAGCCATGGTGTCCTTGTCAGCTCTTGCTGGCAGACCTTGAGTGTGCGCGACTGTGTGCTGTTTCTCAAGCATGACATCTACCTGCATCAGGGTTTCGCCAGGCAGACAGCCTGGGCCGGTGTGCCCCTGGTCAACTTGGGTCAGTGTCCCTCAGGACAGGTGGCTGCCTGGGAAGAGACTTATGCAGCCACCTGGTCCCAGCAGCAGGGAGCCTGTGGGCTAGTGGCAGCATGGCCACCCCGCAGCCCAAGCCCCCCAAGGAAGCATAGTCTGGGTTGCAGAGGGTGTGGGGTTGTGCCTGGCCCTGCAGGGAACCTGGCTCTCTTTCAGCCCTCCGAGCAGCCCCCCAGGGCTATCGGGGCCCTTTGCAGGGGCTGTGGGCCAGCCTTGTGCTGCCGTGGCACAGGACAGACCTTCCCTGTAAAGCCTTACCTTGCAGGCAGTCTAGTGACACTTTCTTCAGGGGACTGATGCTGACTCCCTGGAGCAGGGGCTGTGCCCGGCTCTCTCCACGCTTTGGCTGGTGGGGGGCGCACCCAGAGGGCCGACTCTGCTTGTCTTCATTCACAGCCTGACTTGGCAGCCAATGAAGCCCAGCTGCTGAGGAAGATCCAGCTGCTCTGCCTCATGGAGGTGCGTGGCTGCTGCTCCCACCCCACAGCCCCCAACCAAGGCCCCGAAAGCTTGCCCTGCGTCCTGCCCCCGGGGGGTGGGGGCTTGGCAGGGAGGTGAGCAGGTCTGACCTGGGCCCCGGGTGAACATGGGCAGCTTGCTCTTTAAGAGCCACGCTGACAGTAGGAGCAGGTGAGCGTGGGGGCTTGAGCTGAGGAGCACCGTGGGTGTGGCTGGGTGGGCTTTGGGTTTCTCCCACCTGACTGGCGGCTCACTGCAAGGGAGAAGGACAGGGCTGGGGCTCCTGTAGACATGGAGGCCCGCCGTGGGCCAGATGATTGATTTTTAGAGCAAGGGCGGGCGGACACCAGTTTTATGACCAGCTCTGAAAGCTTCCTCAGAGAGAGCTGACGGCAACTCTCTCCTCAGATGACTTTCACGCGGCCCGCCAACCACCGACAGCTCACTTTTGAAGAGATCGCCCAGAGCGCCCAGATCCCCGTGAACGAGGTGTGTTCTTGGGGCTCAACGTAAGACACCAGGGTCTGGTGTGTCCACCTGCTGGTCTGTCTCTCCAGTGGCCTCAGCCCGCCCTGCTCTGCCCACAGGTGGAGCTGCTGGTGATGAAGGCGCTGTCGGTGGGGCTGGTGAGGGGCAGCATCGATGAGGTGGATCGGCGCGTCCACATGACCTGGGTGCAGCCCCGGGTGTTGGACCTGCAGCAGGTGGGCCATGGGCTGTCTGCCCTGGGGTGTTTGGATGGGTGCCACTTGGGGAAGAACGGAGTATTAGGCAAGAGATTGTGGGGAGTTAATTACTGCTCTCAGGACCAAGGCTTTCCAAGAACAATTCAATACGAGCTGAGGTGTGAACCCTGCATTTAAAAGCTTATTGTGACAACAGTGGAGTTGTCTGGTGGCACCTCCTAATCCTGAGATTGGGGCTCTGACCAAGCACAGCCCCAGCTCTGTGATCTGAGCTCAAACCCGTCTTGTTTGCATTTGCTGGGTTTTAATCCTGTGGATTTCCTCCACCCTCTCTCTCAGTGTCACCCCTCTCCTGGGGTCAGAGGGGCCAGGAGACCCTGTCACCCCATCCCTGGCTCTTGTGTCTGTTTGATTAGTGCCGCCCTAAAGAGCTAGCGGGGCCTGAGCACTGTGGGCGGCTTGGGGTGGTGGGGGGACGGGGGAGTACAAGTTGCCCCACCGAGGCTGACGCCTGTGGTCCTGTGTGCACAGATCAAGGGCATGAAGGGCCGCCTGGAGGTGTGGTGCGCAGACGTGCGGAGCATGGAGACGCTGGTGGGGCAGCAGGCCTATGACATCCTCACCTAGGGGCCCCATGGCTGTGACTGTCCCTCAGGCCTGGGGCGGGGCCCCTGAACCCAGTGTGGGAGCACCTTCCAGGGCCCCTCAGTAAACGTCTCTGCCTTGTTCTCTCTGTGGTCGTTTCTGGGGCGCCCACCGCACAGCAGTCACAAGCACACCAAGCACAGACACTTGGGCTTTATTGTCCGTCCCCGTGGCGATGCTGGAGCGTCACACTGCTGAGCTCTTGTAGCTCTCCAGGTGGCACAGGACCCATCCCGCAGGATACAGGAAGGTGACCAAGAAGGTGGCCAGCCCCATGGCCTGCTCCTGTCAGCGGAGGAGCAGGTGAGGGCCGGTCAGGGCCTCTACTTTCCCCCCGGAGGCCGGGCAGGAAGGCAGCTACAGGTCCTGTTGTCCAAAGAGGCGCCAGCCGAGCCCCGTGCATACCCACTGTTTCCTGAGACGGCCACTCACACACCCATCATGCCCAGCCACCCCTGCCCCTCCTGGCATGCTCTTGGCCTTCTTGACCCTGCCACCAGATCCCAGAAGTTGGCCCCAGGTCCCTGAGCATCGTGGAGGCTCAGAGTGGCACAGACGGCAGCACAGCCCATCCAGAGAGCGGGCAGTTGTGCCTGGCTGCTCCCCAAGCCCACGGCTGCTCATGGAGGCTGGTTGTCTGCTTATGTAAAGACTTGGGTGGGACCCTTCCTGATAGGGCTGCCCTGCCTGTGGGTCACTGGGTTGGATGAAGTCATGGCCGTCCCCATGACTGGTTTCTGTATGTGCCTCAGTGCAAGTCTGTCACTGTGTGTGAGTCTGAGTATATGGTTATATCTCTGTACATGTGTGTAAATGTGTCTAGTGGTATATGTATATGCCTGTGCATATGTGTATCTGAGTGTATAAACATGTGTCTGCATATACATGTGTATATAAGTTTGCATGTGCACATGTATGTGAGCATGTCTCTGTACGTGTGTGTGTGAGAGAGAGAAAAGGTGAGACCCGCCTGGACTGGAACCTCTGGTTCTCAGTAGCTCTTAGACAACAACTGAGGCCCTTCACTGGTCTCCTGATAGCCCAGCTGAGCCCCCAGAGGCATGCCTGCCTGGTGGGCCACTTTGGGGCCACTCTGGCCTGTGGTGCAGACAACCCCTCATGTGCTGGGGGTGGAGGACCAAGGTGGGGTTCCCTGGCCAGCAGGCAGTCCAAGGGGGGAGGTCTTGGGGGCTGAGATGGTCCTCTGTCATGGCTGGGGGCACTGCTGAGCCTACATCCCTGCTGCACAAACTCCCGAGCAGGTGCGGGCCTCCCCAGTCAGTGGCAGCGCTCCCAGCAGGCCCAGCAAGGCTTGGCCAGGACCAGCTTTCCTGATCCCAGGCCGCCCCTGGGCCGGAGCCCACCCTCGGCCCCACTGGGCTCTGCTGGGAGCTGGGCCGGGAGAGCATGCCCCAGCCCAGGGAGTCTTCCAAGGACATGGGGCTGGGGGGGAGGCTCCACCAACATGGACAGCCCCGTGCACCCCAGTGCTTTCAGCAGCCTCCTTTTCCCAGGAACAGTGCCTTCCTGCTGACCAAGGCCTCCTGGGCATTTGCTGGACAGCCTTTACCACATCTCAGCCTGGGCCCTCACCCCAGTTAGCTCTCTGAGGCACCCTGTGATGTCTGCAGGCACCCTGCCGGCTCCTGCTGCAGCTGTCTGTCCCTCCATCAGCAGGGCTGACCACTCCCCAGTCAGTGTAGGGGGTACGCTGGATGGAGTGTCTGGCCTGCCAGGCACTGGGCTGACTTTCGGGTACGAGGCTGGCCCTTTCCCACACCATCCCAGAGTGACAAGAATTAGGGAAAGAGGCCCCACCCACCAGCTGACACCACCAAGGCCGGGCCACAGCCCCAGTTGCCTGTGGTGTAGTGCATTCATGTTGGGCTGCAAACTACAAGGTCAGCAGTCCAATCCCACCTGCCCCTCCTGGGGAGAAAGAGGAGTCTGCTCCCGTAAAGGTACTGGGCAGCTCTCTGGGCTCGTGAGCTCGGCTTGAGTCAGAGCCCGCTGAAGGGCAGCGCCTGCTTGGTGTCCAGTCTCCTGCAGTGGCATGGGCCCAAGGTGGGTCCAGGAAGGGGCAGTGCTGTGTCCACACCAGCCCAGAGCGGTCAGGGTGACCGTGGCCCAAGCAGGGTGTGTAGCCAGGAGTGCCTGCTGGGCACCCAGGCTCCTCCAGAAGCCACGCTAGCAGCCAGTCCTGAATGTTATCTCCCAGCTGCCCCAGGCCCCGGGGGGCTCTGCCCTCCCCTGAAGTAATCCTTCCGCCTCCGCAGCCTGTAATTACAGCTTTGGGGTCCAGTGGGGACCAGCTGACTCGGGTGTTTCTTATTTCAGTGGCAAGGGCCCCAGGCCAGGCTCAGTGTGGCCTCTGGGGGGAGGGGGCTGGACCTGCTGGGTTCCCAAACAAGCCTGGGAAGCCACCCCGGGACCAAGGGGATGTAAAGAGGCAGAGCCACCCAGGGGGAGGAGACAGGCTACCCGACCTCCCCTGTCTGCCATGTGCTCCAAGCTCAGGGGGACTGCCCCCAGATCCCAGCCTGGCCCCGTGAGGAGAGCTGCCAGGCAGGGCCACATTTAATAGGGACACAAAGGCCCTCCCCTCGGGGTGCAGGGTGGGGATAAGGCCCCTGCAGCACCAGGGAACCTGAGATCTGCTGGGTGCTGTGGCCGCAGTGTCCTCCTGGACCCAGAGGCCACAGCGTTTCTGGGCACTTGGCGGCACCTGGTGTCCACCGTGGGAACAACAGCTGGGCGCACGTGCCGGTGATGGCTCCCTTTTTCCACCAAGTATGGCAGCGGTTCTCAAAGTGGGTTCCTGGGAACTTGGTGAAATGAATCCATGAGCCGGTGGGCCCTAGGAGTCTGTTGTCCCCCATCCACTATCAGGATGTGGTTTCACACCCACTTGCAGAGAAAAACTCATACAGGCTGCAAAACTGTTCTTCCTGTCAACACCGCTTCCACCAAATAGACTTTCCTGAAACTCTGGGCCCAGCGCTCCATCCTGCAGAGGAAATCCCAGTGCCAGGACTGGTGGTATCCCCTTCTGCCCAGAGGCATTCGAGGGGTGTGCTGCTGTAATGCGCTCTTCAGCCTTCATCCGGCCACTTCTTCCCTGGGCTCGACCCTCAGCTTCAACATCACTGGACCAGCACCCTTCCGTTTGCTGAGCTCTTTCACCACCGTGGAAGCAATGCAGGCTGGGCCAGAACTGGCCCTGGGGATTCGGAGACTGTAACTCTGCAGAAGCAGAAAGCCAGCCTCCTCTTCCTCTCTGGGAGTGGCTGGTGGTTTCAAACTGCTGACCTGCCAGTTAGCAGCTGAAATGTGTAACACTACACCACCTGGGCTCCCTTGCCTTTACTCTCTTTCAGCAGTTTTATCATTGTCCTGTGTGAGCCCTGCATGTCCCTGGTAGACTTATTCCTAAGCATTTGACTCACGTACTACTGCAAGTGGAATGGTTTCCAAACCCACTGGCACCAAGGAGAGGCCAGCTCACAACTCTAGGGTTTCTGAGGCCGTCAATCTTGCTGAAGCAAAGCCTCAATCTTCTCCTGAGGAATTGCTGGTGAGTTTGAACAGCTGACCCTGAGGTTTGTGTTCCCAGTGCTTAAACCACAGTGCCACCAGGGCCCCTGAGGACACAGTCGTTCCACTCTTAGGTTTATAGCCCGAACCATTGAAAGCAGGTACTCAAACAGGTATGTATGTGCACACCGGGGTTCACTGTGGCATTCTTCACTGTCCCCCAAAGGTGAGCGCAACCCAATTGTCATCAGTGTCTAACCCAAACCCAAACCAGTCTCACCGCTATCAAGTCAATTTCAACTCAGGGCGACCCTACAGGGCAGGGTAGACTGGCCCTGTGAGTTTCAGAGGCTGAAGCTAGCCCTTTACGGGAGTAGAAAGCTTGGTCTTTCTCCTCAGGAGCGACTGTTGGTTTCGAACTGCAGACCTTTGGCTTAGTAGACCAGTGTGTAGGCACTGCCACGCTAGGGCTCTCCCAACAGTGTGGTACCGCTACCGGGCAGTACAAAGGAATGACCTTGAGATGCTCACTGCCAAGTGGAGGGCCCTCGGAAACACTGCGCCAAGTGGAAGGCGACCGCATAGAAGTAGTACCATCCTTTACATGAACTGTCCAGAGAGCAGGGAGCCGCATTTGGTTGCCTGACCTGGAGGGTGGGGACGAGGGACGTCCGTGGGCTTTCTTCATATTTTAGAATGAGATGCTGTGAATACGCTAGAAGTCACTGAATTGGACCCTTTAATAAAGGCCTGTCTTTGTCACATGAATTGCACATCAATAAAAAGTAAGTCTTAAAAAAAAGTACTCGCAATTGAGGCGGCACAGTTATGTCCTGTGTGTGAAGTCACCACCGTGGTGGAAGCCATCCAGTGAGGGGCCCCGTGCAGGAACCAGGGTCTCCAGGACTGACCCCTAGAAAACCGGGCCTGCGTTCCACAAGCTCGGAGCTAGGTCTTGTCAACAGCTAGCCAGCCTGGGGTCCCGCCTAATCCCCGCGCGGATCCCTCAGGGCCGGTCTATAGACCCCCCAATTGATTCTTGTTCTGACCTTGTGTACCCTGCAACTTTGCTAAATCATTTTACTTGCTCTAAATATTTTCTTTGGAGAGTTTCAAAGAAAATATTTTTTTAATATAAGAAGAGGCAAAAAAGAAGGAAAAAGCCCAAAGCTCACCTGATTAAGGGTAGAGTATAGTCTGATTATTGTGTCAGTAAGCCATGCGCTTGCAGGAGATTGGAGGGGAAAAGAAGCAGAGGTGTTACCTGGGGGACTAGGGCGTGTCTGTCATAGATGGCCAAAGCCCTTGTGTCGACCCGTGAAAGCACTGTGGACTACCAGAAGAACAAGTATTTCCTCCATTGTATCCTTCCAAACTGTACAACAGTTGTAAAATTGGATAACTCCAGTTTTCTCATTCCCCCCGTTGTCGGTGCCCTTGCTGTCATACATGACAATCAGTTGTCCCATCAAGGTCATGAAGGTTTCCCTCAAGGCTACTTCCTAAGAGTTTTATAGATGTACTGTTTTGATAGATTTATAGTTTTATA